ATGTCCTCCTGCGGGCATTTCTGACAATGGCCTGAGGAGGCCTGAGCAGACAGGGGCCTCATTCTCCAAGGAGCCAGTAATCTGTGACTTATTTCTCATTCTAAATAAATATTTACTTACATGCTTAACTTTGTGTTTGTATTTTATGTACATTTCCCTTAAGGGCCCCGCCCCTCCTGAGTTTTCTATGCTTTTAATGCCCCAAAACCTGGGCCTGCCCTTGGCCTCCCAGGGCTCTGCTTCCCAGGGACTCGTGCTGTGGGCTCAGAGAAGCTCACCTAACAAGGCCTCTCGGTGCAATCCACCCACAGGTTTCATTCTAGAAAATGCCGGATGGATCGGAAACTTTGTGGGAAACTCTGGGAAGATGATGAGGGCGGGAGCTGTATTAGGTCAGCAGTTCTCAACCTGTGGGTCGCGACCCCTTTGGGGGTCCAAAGACCCTTTCACAGGGGTCACCTAAGACCATCGGAAAACACATATTGAATATATAATTGCATATTGTTGTTGTGATTAATCACTATGCTTTAATTATGTTCAATTTGTAACAATGAAAATACATCCTGCCTATCAGATATTTACATGACGATTCATAACAGTAGCAACATTACAGTTATGAACTAGCAACGAGAATAATTTTATGGTTGGGGGTCACCACAACGTGAGGAACTGTATTAAAGGGTCGCGGCACTAGGAAGGTTGAGAACCACTGTATTAGGTCGTTGGGTCAAGCTCGACTGACTTGAATTGATTGGGGACTTGGGAGCAGGCAGCGTGGGGAGAGGGATTCGGGTTAGAACGTGCAGTGAGTTAGGGCATTTCCTGACACCTGCCCACTGGGCAGTGGCTATGGCAGCCTCGCGTCTGCCAAGAGCAGAGAGGCAGGTACCTTCGACTTGGAGACGCTCTCGATGTTGCTGGCCATGTCATCGATCTCCATCTTCAGCTCACTCTTCTCCTTCTCCAGCTTCTGCTTGACCCTCTGCAGGTTGTCTATCTGCTCCCCAAGTTCAGCCACGCTGTCTGCGTGCTTCTTCCTCAGAGCGGCCGCCGTGGCTTCGTGCTGCAGGGTGGCCTCCTCCAGGTCCCGGCGCAGCTTCTGGAACTCGGCCTCCCGCTTCTTGTTCATCTCAATCTGGACCGAGGTTGCGCCGCTGGCTTCCTCCAGCCGCTCGCTGATCTCCTCCAGCTCCCGGGAGAGGTCCGAGCGCTGCTTCTCAATCCTGCCCCTGAGCGTGCGTTCTGCTTCCATCTCTTCCTCCAACTCCTCAGTGCGGGCCTGCAAGGGCCTGTGTCAGCACTGCTGTGGGGGCAGCAGCCGCGTGGGGAGGGCAGGAGGGTGTGGGATAGAGCGCAGGCAGCGTGAACTGAAGAACACACTATACGACTAAATTAGTGTCAAAAACTCAGCAACAATCCAACTGTCCCCCAGTAGGGAGGTGGTCAGGTCCACCGTGAGGGAGCCGCGCCCTCTGGGTGTCCGCAGCACCTGGTCCATGGCCACCATGGACAGCTCTGCAGGATGAATTGAGTAAGTTGTAGAATGATAGTCTCAGCATGACATTTATATGTATATTTTATGTATATATTTATGTACATATATACACATATATATAATAATGTTCTTGTTCCCTTATATTTTTATGCATATATATAAGCTTATGCGAGTGTTGTATATATAACATAGCACTAGAGGCCCGGTGCATGAATTTGTGCACAGGTGCGGTCCCTCAGCCTGGCTGGTGATCAGGGCCATTGGGGCTGATCAAGGCAGGCTGGACAGGGGTGTGGGGGGAGACCACAGGCAGTTGGCCAGCCAGGGTGAGGGACCATGGGAGGCCAGCTGGGGGGTGGGGGAGGGACCACAGGAGGTTGGCTGGCCATGGGAGGTTGGCTGTGGGAGCTCACTGACCACCAGGGGGCAGCTCCTGCATTGAGCATCTGCCCTCTGGTGGTCAGTGTGCGTCACAGTGACTGGTTGTTCAGTAGTTTGGTTGTTTGGTCATTTGGTCACTTAGGCTTTTATAGATACAGATATATTTTGAGGTCTCATGTACATAAATCCACAGTGAAACATCCAGAAGGATGCACCTCCAACTGGCACTGGTGGTGACCTCTGAGAAGACGGCGAGGGCACTGGGCTTAGATTGGCGAGAAAAGCAATGTCCTGCCTCATTGGTAAGAGGATAATTATGTCCAAGGAAACCCATTGATGTGGGACTTGGAAAATTGAAATATTAACTTCCGTAAATAAAGGGAAGGAAGGACATTGTCTCCAGCTGCAAGGGGAGGGAGGAAAGAAGCAGTGACGGAAGCAGAGGGGACGGCGGGGTGAGGCGGCGTGACCCAGGGCGCTGTGGGGGGCTCCCGGCCTCACCTGCAGCTCTTTAATCTTCTTCTGTAACTGCAGACTGTGGACTTGCTCATCGTCCATCTTGCTCTGTAACTGACTGATTTCAAACTCCTTCCTGCAAATAGACACACATGCATTTCACATGAAAGAGAAGCCTGCTAAAGGGGAAGCTGGCTTTCGTGCTCGCACACAGAGGCCCAGATGAAACAGCTACTTTTTCAGTTTCTCCTCTACTTGCTGCCTGTCGTTCTCCAGATCCATGATGGCTTCCTGGGCCATCTTCAGGTCTCCTTCCAGCTTCCTCTTCACTCTCTCCAGGTCGGCCCGCAGCTTTTTCTCCTGCTCCAGGCAGCCCTCGAGCTGGGAAGAAAGGGGGGAAGGCTGAGGCCCAGCTGGGAGAGGGAGCGTGCCCCTTGGCCAGGCACCAGGCCATCCTGGGCTCCCTGGGGTGTGACTGCGGCCTCAGGCTGGGCTCAGAGGGAGCAGGTTTGCCTTTCCTCCTCCAGCAGAGGCTCACCCAGGGGCTGGTGCCTCAGAGGCTCCCGTGGTGCCTCTTTCAGCCGATTCCCAATTCCCAGGTGGCCGGTCCTGGGCCAGGTTCCCTGCAGAAACATGGTGTCCACAGGGTTGTGTTCTTGCCCAGACAGGAACAAACGGGGCTCTGGGGGTGGGCACTGCCACAGCCATGCCCGAGGGCCAAGATGCTCACTGTCCCCCTCCCCACTTACACCACGCACTGCGGGGAGCCCAGGGCAAAGTGTGTGTGTGTGTGCGCGCACACACGCATGTGGGCACCTGTGTGTGTGGGGGGGTATAGGGGTGGAGCACACCTTCTCTGGCCTCAGGGACATCTGGTCAAGTTCTAGCCACAGTTGTGAGTGAAACCCGGAGACAATGAACCTGGCTCTTAGCTCAAGAACAAATGTAACACGGTGGGAGAAATGACCATTTTCATGGTCACAAATAGAACTCATGTTTAGCAATGTTAGAACAAAATTGAAGCTTTGGGGACCCAAAGACCTAGAAATGGATGCCAGTGATGATGATGATGATGATGATGATGATGATGATGATGATGATTAGCTCATGGTTCACTAACATTACGTGCTGAGTTTTCCTTGGACACCCTCTGAGGTGGAGCTAGTTGTGTCCCCATTTCACAAGGTGGAAACTGAGGCCTTGGATTCTAAGTGCTTGCTCAGCATCCAGATGTGCTTGGAAAGGGCTGAGATTGCAACTCAGCAACTCTGATCCCAGAGTTATAAGCTCAGCCCCTGCATCCTGTCTAGGCCCCTGCATCCTGTCTAGGCCCCTGCATCCTGCTTAGACCCCTGCATCCTGCCTAGACCCCTACATCCCGCCTAGGCCCCTGCATCCTGCTTAGACCCCTGCATCCTGCCTAGACCCCTACATCCCGCCTAGGCCCCTGCATCCTGCTTAGACCCCTGCATCCTGCCTAGACCCCTACATCCCGCCTAGGCCCCTGCATCCTGCTTAGACCCCTGCATCCTGCCTAGACCCCTACATCCCGCCTAGGCCCCTGCATCCTGCTTAGACCCCTGCATCCTGCCTAGACCCCTACATCCCGCCTAGGCCCCTGCATCCTGCTTAGACCCCTGCATCCTGCCTAGACCCCTACATCCCGCCTAGGCCCCTGCATCCTGCTTAGACCCCTGCATCCTGCCTAGACCCCTACATCCCGCCTAGGCCCCTGCATCCTGCTTAGACCCCTGCATCCTGCCTAGACCCCTACATCCCGCCTAGGCCCCTGCATCCTGCTTAGACCCCTGCATCCTGCCTAGACCCCTACATCCCGCCTAGGCCCCTGCATCCTGCTTAGACCCCTGCATCCTGCCTAGACCCCTACATCCCGCCTAGGCCCCTGCATCCTGCTTAGACCCCTGCATCCTGCCTAGACCCCTACATCCCGCCTAGGCCCCTGCATCCTGCTTAGACCCCTGCATCCTGCCTAGACCCCTACATCCCGCCTAGGCCCCTGCATCCTGCTTAGACCCCTGCATCCTGCCTAGACCCCTACATCCCGCCTAGGCCCCTGCATCCTGCTTAGACCCCTGCATCCTGCCTAGACCCCTACATCCCGCCTAGGCCCCTGCATCCTGCCTAGACCCCTGCATCCTGTCTAGACCCCTGAATCTTGTCTAGACCCCTGCATGCTGTCTAGACACCTGCATCCCGTCTAGACCCTGCATCCCGTCTAGACCCCTGCATCCTGTCTAGACCCCTGAATCTTGTCTAGACCCCTGCATGCTGTCTAGACACCTGCATCCCGTCTAGACCCTGCATCCCGTCTAGACCCCTGCATCCTGTCTAGACCCCTGAATCTTGTCTAGACCCCTGCATGCTGTCTAGCCTAGACCCCTGCATCCCGCCTAGACCCCTGCATCCCGCCTAGACCTCTGCATCCCGCCTAGGCCCCTGCATCCTGTCTAGACCCCTGCATCCTGCCTAGACCCCGCCTTTCCTTAGTGTCTGCAGGTGCCGCGTGTGAGAGCCCAGCAGAGAAACACCCTCACGTCATCTGCCTGCTGCTCCAGCTTGACGTTGACTTTGATGAGACCATTGACTTTGTCCTCTTCAACCTGCAGGTCATCCAGTGTCTGCTGGTGGGCCTCCTGCAGGGCCTTCTTCTCCCTGGTCAGCTTGGAGATGCTTTCTTCAAGGGCCGTCATTTCCTCGGAAAGGTTCTTTACCTGGGACAATGTCAACACCAGTTCAAGTCAAACAGTTAAACCAGAGTGTCCAGCAAAGGCTACTGATTCTCTTACTGAAGGACTTGGCTATGAGAATATGCTGCCTCTGAAGGGAACAGGCCAATCTCTATCCACCTGACGCCTCATGGGAACTTGCTTATTAGGTTGGCCGATTGGGGTTTAGAATGAGGCAGGAAGGGGAAGGATAATCCGGAATGGGGGTCCTAAGTTGTCCAGAAGCAGGACAAGGGCACCGAACACGGAACTTGAAAGCATTAAATTAAACGCTGCCCCATGTGCAACATTCCTCCAGATCACAGAGGACTGCCTCCTGGCCCGTAGGCTGAATCCAACCACAGACATCTTTTCTTTAGTCCTCATAGTGGTTTACAACTTTGAATAAGTTACCAACATTGAAAAACTTGAGATGTCACATAAAATCTGGGTTTCTGGTCTCTTACCGAAAGTTGGAAGCCCTGGCAATGCCGGATTCCCATCCCCACCTGGCAACAGCTGGCTGGCGCTGTCATGGCTGCCACTTGTGGACAGAGTAAATGCTCTCCAGTTTGCCACAATCTCCACCGCTCCCTATTGTCTCTCTCCACTACATCCAGTTGTCCACCCAGCACTGACTGAGTCATCCCACACCTGGCCAACACCATCCTATGTTCTATCTCATTGGCAGCCAATATGAAATGAATCATGTACTGTGTGCTCTTCATTTGGTTCTGTGAAATATTTACTCTTTTGTGTGCATGTAATTTTAGTCTACACATGGCATCATGCTGTGTCTTTCATTTTCCTACTTTCCTCCACTCAGCACTAGTTCTTTTATATCTATCTTGTTTCTCTATGAGCATCCTCCACGTCTCACCTCTCCATTCCCCAGCAAGGGCCCTGCTGCTGCCTCCAGCTTGACACCCCCCCACCCCCACCCCCACAGGCAATGCTACCACGAACATCCTCACACATGTCCCGGTACGAACTGGAGTGAAATGTCCCTGGTCTCTACACTGAGGAGCAAAAACACTGGGTTGTGGATGTGTGGATTCTGAATTCAACGAAATATTTCCAGATGGTTTTCCTGAAGGCTGTGTGCATCAGTGTGTCAGTCCATACCAATAGTGCCTCCCTGCCATCATCCAGTTTTCCACCTCCTTCACCCCCTGCTTCCCTCATTATCTGCCTGGCCCTGGGGGCATTCTTGTTTGCTCTTCCTGTGTCAAGTGAATTGAAACAAAGATGAACGGGACTCCAAACCTCCTGCTTTGTGGAGGAAGTGGTGGGGCTGAGAGTCTGGTACCCCTAGGGAGGGCTGAGAAGCCTGCAGGGTAGAGAACGGGGCAGAATGGGGTGGACTCCAACCATGCTCTACTCCTGCCTCCACTCCAGGCAATGCTGGGTTAGTGGGGGTTCTGCCTGCCAGCCTCTTCCTTACAGAGAGGAGTCCGGACCAGCCAGGACACCGCGGGGTCCCTGGGGCTCGCCCACCTTGTTCTCCGTGGCATGCTTCTCCTTCTCCACTTTGGTCAGGGTCAGCTCCAGGTCATCAATGTCTCTTTTGAGAGAGGAGCACTTATCCTCCAGGTTCCTCTTCTTGGCAACAAGCTCAGAGTTCGTCTCTTCCTCCTCCTCCAGCCTCTCATTCAGCTCCTTGACCTTTGCTTCCAGTTGAATCTTGCATTTGATGAGCCCCTCACACCGCTCCTCGGCGTCCATCAGGTTTTCCGTTTCCTGGAGGGACCGGGCGTTATGTGTTGCTCAGGCTCCTGACAGACCCTGGGAAGGAAGGGCTTTGCCCTCCCCAAGCCCATTAACTAGTGCTAAGGAGTGGTCACACTCACACACGCACTCACACACACACACACACACACACAGACTCACGCATACACACACACAGACTCACACACGCACACACACACACACACACACCCTCACCTGCATATAGCATCCACATGCTTCATTTTAAACCACTGTGGGCATCATCCACTTGATAAAAACTCACCTCAAATAACTTCAAGCCAAGGCATTCATGGAGTTGATAAAGCCGCTGCTAATTCTCAATGCCCAACCATCTCACTCTGCCTACTACCACCAGCTAAAAAGTAACTGATCCCAGTGTTATCACAAACTAACGAATATTTAGAAAATGTCACTGCCTTTTAACTTTCAACAGGAAAGTTCTGTCTATGTCTCCTTAGCCTTGCCTCCTAGAGCTTCAGAGCAGAAAATTCAAAACAGACAGGGGTAAGTGATTAAATAAGTACACATCCCAGAACACCTGTCTCTAGGACAGACCATATTAGTTCTTAAACTTAATTGGGCCATAGCTTCTCACACAAGAGTATTATAAGGACCGGACACACCTTCCAAGGTTATGAATGAAAACAGACCTGCAAGAGTAAGAGTCTGTGTTTACTGAACATGTGCTATGTGCTGGGCATTTCACACGTATGGACTCATCTGATCCTTCCAGCAACCCTATGAGGTGGATATATTACTATGCCCATCTTACAGAAAAGAATACTGAGGCACAAAGTGGATGAGTATCTTGCCCAAGGCCACGCAGCTGTCAAATGGAGGACCTGAATTGCAAACCCAGCAGGCTGGTTCCAAACCTCTTGCCACTATGCTTGGGAGCGGGCACCTAATAACCACATTTACGGACTGGGAACGTGAAAAGGGGAAGGGAAGATGCTTTTCACAGAAGGCAAAAGGTATTTGGGAATTTAAAAAAGGACAAACGATAAACGCCTTAACTCTGTGAAATGGTGCGATTACACGGTCAGAGTGTCACTGTGTACCTGGCCATGTCTCCCCTACTTCCTTGATAAAAATTCGGATCTTTTAAAGTATTTTTACTATAATTATATCATAAAAAATCATGTATAGAAAATTACTCTTTCTACTTTGAATTTTTAATTTTTATGTACATTTTAAAAAAAATTCTCACCCAAGGATATTTTCTCCACTGATATTCAGAGAGAGTGGAAGGGATAGAAAGAGATGGAGAAACATCGACGGAGAGAGACACAGCGATTGGCTGCCTCCTACACTGGTCCAGACAGGCAGGGATGGAGCCTGCAACTGAGGTACGAGCCCTTGACCAGGGCTGACACTCTAACCACTGAGCAAACTGTCCAGGGCTTATTTAAAAACATTTAAAATACCTGTTACACTCCTGACACCGTTTATTATGATGACACAGACCCACAGCAAGGCAGGTCTAACTCCACCGTGGAAGACAGGCGGGGAGGGCGGGTTC